TCTTCAGGCCGAAATGGAGGAAGCAATCAAGAGAGCAGATTGGCATTCCTATGCCTGGGTCCAACGACATAGCAAAAAATGTCCTCATTGCCAAATCCCAATACAGGTGAGATTCAAAGTTTGTGTGAAAGACGAAAGATAGCTGATTTCACTGAGACGCTAGGTCATGTCAGAGGGTGGCTTTGGGGTGGTGCCAACCCGTTTTGCACCAATTGTTGTCGGTTGCTCGCTTCAGCAAGTGGTGGAGAATGAGCTAGCGCTGCTCCAGATCCAACCCATCTGACACATGCAGGCCACGATTACGATTTATTAAACCCAATATTCCGATTTTAGAGAGAATATGGATGCAACAAGATGACGTGCTCCATGTGTAAAACTTCTTTCTGTTGGAATTGTGACAAAATTCTAGATAAACAAAATCCCTATGGTCATTTCCAGGCTGGGGTACGTTCAGCACACGTGTTTTAATTTTCATCATTCTTATGTTGTATAGTGTTGCTCGCTGCGTATGCTGGGAGTGTCAGGGTGGCTGGGTTTGGGGTGGCGCCAGGCCCTTCTTCCACCAGTTGTTGAGGAAGGAAAAGCGATCACAATTGGTGGAAAACGTGCTGGCACTGTGAAAAACTCAACTCCTGACACGCCCAGCATCCGCAGTGAACAAGACTGTTCTAAATTTGTGTCACATTACTCACAGAGATTCCCAATTTTTATGAAGTACTACTTCCAGAACTGTCAAAACGAAGGACCACAAATTCCGCTCGGCGATGACGAAGTGTAATGAGCAGTACTGGTGACTGACAGACGCCAGTGGACCTAAAGGCACATTTCGCGATAACCGATGTTTGAAGAAATTAGCGGAAACTTTTGTCCCTCTCAATGTATATTTTGAATAATGAATAAAGACTTCATATCAGATGAGAAGTTCAGATGTAGAAAGTTCCAAGGGGTTATTGAGGTATTCTCCCTCAGCTGGCCTATACTTCCTGAATAATTTATACAATGGACTCACCTGGCAGAGACCTGCTCCTTCCGCGTTCAAGCCGTAGTTCATGCACAGTCTTTCTCTCTCATATGTGCAACTGTGTTCATATTTTGCGGCAGCGTCCACCAGCGTCCGAAAGTCCGGCGCCGTCAGCGACTGGAAAGACATAGATATTGATCCAGCCTTTGCCTTGTCTTGTCTGCCTTGTCTTCAGCGACCACCACCGTCTGCCAGCGTCTCAAGAGCTAGGGAAGCATAGGTATCGATCTATCGTCTGCCAGCGTGTACTAGCGTCCACCAGCGTTCACCAGCGACCGGGAGTAGAGAATATGGGGAAGTAGGAGGGTAGCAGACAGCTGGACTAGGCGTCCGGCGTGTGCAACTGCATCGCGTAGCTGCCAATGCACAGAAGCATGCAATTTTATGTACGGTGTAGTGTGGTTTGTGGTTGCACACGCCGCAATCTCACTACGCAATCCAGTTGCTTGCTACCCTCCTACTTCCCCACACTCCTTTACTCCCGGTCGCTGGTGAACGCTGTTGCTCGTAGACGCCGACAAACGTTAGGTTGATACCCATGCTTCGCTGGCAGACGCTGACAGACGCTGATAGACGCTAGATCGATATCTATACTTTCCTAGTCGCTGACGCTGCTGGACGCTCAGGAACGCTACGCTAGTGGACGCTGGTAGACGGTGATGGTCGCTGCTGCAAGGTATGAAGGCAGCCTAATAGACCGACCACGAGCAACTGGACGCACCAGCAGATGTAAGCCTCCTCAGATTTTACTGGTCGCAAGGTGGCGAAGCTATTCGCAAGGGTTTTACCTACGTCGATTGAAAGGTAGAAGCAATATCTCTTGCATGTATTATAAAAGTTAAAGGGTCAAAGTTAGACAACAGCGACTCTACCTTGACAGCGGCGCTTAGCATGTGACGTGTAAAGGGCAGTGTCGCGATAAGAGGTAAGATCCTCACAGGGTAAACACCCTCGTTGCGGCGAAACACGTGCGGGAGGGGGTCGTATAATTAGCCGCTGAGGAGGGGGGGAGTCGTGAAACGGCAAGCGCTTCATGAGCAACCAAACAGCACAAAGATGTCATTGCTTAGTTTGATGGAGCGGACGGAAACCTGCAGAGGACCCGGTCGTAAGAAAGACTACAAAATACTGAAAAAATTAATTAGCAATATCAGTTATTAGCATAAACTCGTAAGTACGCAGATGACTAAATAACACGTCTCAAACAGATTCGCGCGTATCGATCTTTCCAAACCCCAAACAAACATCTGCTTGCATGGACAAAAATCACCTAAAATCAGAAGTTACACCTTTCCACCACCTCTGCGTAGAAGCGTAATGCACGGCGCACACTCGGACCAAATCGATCGATGATAACCAAATTCTACGTCCACATTTCAACGGAAATAAGTGTTTGAAGGGAAGGAGTCGAGCTTTTGAGTGGTTCAGAATGTCACTGTCACCAAGGGAGACCTATCTAAAATATCTTCTGAACTAACTGGTCTTCAGGAAAACTGTAGAGCTTCTCGGAAAGAGGGAATATTGGGCGTTCTGATGACTTTTTTAGTTTTGCAAAAGATGCGTTCGAAAGAAGTTATTCTCGTCTGAAGCATAAAAACCCGCTTGCGATTCACCACTAACGCGTCCAAAACCCATCCGAAATATTTCACGAACGGGGGAAGATTCAGATTGCGAGTAGGTAGAAAACGCAACAGTAGAGACATTGCTTCAACATGCCGCCTTCCGTTTTTCAAAAGCCCCACATCCTAAAAAAGCTATCACCTCCAGAAAAGCCCGCGATTTCCACTCGGCCAACAGATCTGCTCCACCGCTAATTTGCCATGGAATCATAACGCCGCAAGCGCTTGCGAGTCGTCACGTATCTAATCCTTCTCGTCAGAGCCGGGAAGGAGGGGGGTGGGTGTCGTACCACGATTCTCATCTCGATGCTGCAACCTGATCTTCAATCAGCTACCCGCTCTAGGAGGTGTCAGATGTGAAAATTGTGTTAAATTTGATCAGGATGCCGAATATAACCCTACTATGCAAAGAAAGTTTATGTAGACTTACTGGCGCACTACGGCGCCAGCTCGGATGCTATTTTTGAGGGCAGGCAGTGAACGAGACCGCCTGTAAAAGGTGCAGTTACGGGGGGAGGGGAGGGGGCATTTTGCACTTTCGCTGCTTCACTGGTTCCGGTTTACAAGTCTCACTCTGGTGAAACCTGTGAACTCTTGTGAAGCTGGGTTGACACGTCGATGGGAAGTAGCAAAAGTGCGAAATACCCCTCCATCCCTCTCTCCCCCTCC